CTAGTTTAGAGTTCATATATGTACATTAGTTTGCATGGACATCGTTGTTTTAAACATGTCATATGAATCAAACGGTTGTTATAAACGGTTGTTATAAATTGAGTAGCTGACCAAAATAAATTATGATAATTAATTAATAAGATTGAATTCTTATTATTATACATAATTAATTTAACTACAATGAATTCTACTTATTCACACAAGACCAAATGATGATACCACTCTATACGTGATTCGGCTATACCTATATCCACGACAGGGAAGAAAAAAATCCACTAGTGTGAAATAAGGAGAATTTACATCATTCACGCTCTATTTCAGTTCACTCAGAAAATTCCTAGTTACCACATTACACTCAAGAACAAAACCCTCTGTTGTCTTTTTTTTTTTTTTTTTTCCCCATTCTTCTTCTTCTTTTTTTTTTTCTCTTAAAAAATTCGTTTTTCCAATTAAGGAAACAATGTGACAAGTCAAAACAAATAATAAATCATGGTTTCACAAGAATGATGTTGAATAGAACAAACAAAAAAAAAGTAATTACATAAAATGCCTATTATTAAAGCTCTAATTTTAAAAATATCGATTATTATACAATATTACAAAAATACTAATTAAGGCATATATGTTACCGGATATGCCCTTATGGATTATTTTGCGGAACATATGTGGTTAATTTTTATTTGTTTTTATCGTAATATTCCACATATTTTCTTTTCTTTTTATCTCTAATTAATTGTCTGTGATCATTTAACCAATGTACAAACGAAGGTCCGTTGTTTATAATTGTTTTATTGTAATTATTTATTGTTTCTTTACCTATAGTTTTGTGAGGTTTGTTTTTTCTTTATTGCAATTTTTATTTTATTATGATTTGTCCATGTTTATTCTTTTTCGGAATATTCATTCCGGGTCATTTAAATTTCATATTCATTCTTTTACGTATTTCTTAAATCACCGCATTAATAAAACAATTTTGCATGTGTATGTTGATTGTTTGATACATATTGTATTGAATTTTTTTTTTTTTTGCATCTTTTTTCTAAATGATGTGACGATTAAACTAAAGAAAAGATTTTTTTTGTCCCTTTGATATTTTTGACGCAAATGCCTCTTCATTCTTTTGATGAAGAAAACGAGGAGTGTAGTCCTTTTTTTTTTTTTTTTTTTTTTTTTTTTTTTTTTTTTTTTCTTTTTTGTCTGTATGTGATGATTGAATCCATAGCTCACATCATGTAACTAACAAATCCAAATGTTGTCATTTTCTATCCTATAATTAGATCATAGACATAAATCTTTCCTTTAAGTGTAGATAAAAATTTGTACAACTTTTAGTAGTTAAATTGACTACTTGGAGAATCAATTTTAATTTCAAATTTGGAGGCATAATATCAACTTAATGGGTCCATTTCCAATTGTAGACCACCTTGAAATAAAATGCACAATTGTAGAATATGGGCACATGTAAAAAACGATAACATCATAAAACCCAGCATTAAATTAGAAACGACAACAATCAAACCAAAAACGACACATCAAATATTACATTGGCAATTCATTAAGGAACGACATTTTGTAAAACAAACGAGACAAATAGAAAAACGACAAGTGCGTAAAAATGAGTTGAAATCTGAAAAATGATGATATAACTCATAAACGACAATGATAAAGCTAATCTGACAAAAATATTAATTAAAAGAGACAAATAGAGAAAACATAACCCCAAGAAACGACATGAACTTAAAAAACAAAAACGACATGAATTGGAAAAGGATAAGAAAAAGAACAGTTCACAATGACAATCATCTCTAAAAACGACATATCCAGAAAGGGAAGACAAAAATGTAAAAAAAAAAAAAAATGATAATAATATGAAACAACGATACAAACATATAACCAAGAAAAACCTTCAACAGAAAACGGAGGACTTTATATTCTGGTGAGTAGAAAGGAATTGAAAACTCTATTCTTAGGCAGTGGCAGAGCCAGAATTTTGATTCTGATGAGGTATAAACTAAAAACGTAAAAAATGTTAATATAGTCAACTCCTAACATTTTTAGATGAATAATATTTGATGACAAAGATTTTAGTAAGTAAATTAGATAAAAAATATTTAAGAGTTACATTATACCCATAAGAAAAGGAAAAGATCGTTAAGTATGTAGTGCACATTTGAAAAAATATGTATTACTTGAGAAGAGGCAAATTAGAGAAAATGGTTTATGAGACAATAGTAATTGAGAGACTTGTTTGAAAAAAAAATCTTGATTAAGGATACATTTAAGAAAATTATTTTAAAAACTGTTTTCATAAGAATAAATTAGAGAAAAATAATTAAGTGAGATACATCTAAAAATATAAGATTTAATTAAAAAAACAATTGAGATTGGATTTTGTGAGGATATATTTAAAATTTTTATTGAAAAACCATATCTTAAATATCAAATATAAAAAATACACCGCGCCACTGTTCTTGGGTATACTCTTGGAATTATGTATTTTTTGAATGAAAACTCAAAGTGGTCAATGATTTGGTGATTGTAAATTTATAGTTTTATGTGGTTTTTCAACCCATGTAGTATTGAGTGTTATATTTCATACGAAGAAAAAACATAGATAGATTGTCGTAATTAGGGGTGACAATTCGTGTCACGTGTCGTGTTCGTATCGTATTTTAATCGTTTCTTTTTAAATTTACAGTCAACCCTAACACGAACTGTGACACGAAATTTTTTAAAAACCGCAACACGAACACGACACAACCACTTTACGGGATGACACGACACGACACGAAATTGACCCGTGACACGAAATTGACCCGTGAATCCGAAATTGACACGAAAATTATATACTTTTATTTAGTTTTTTACATATTAAAAATAACTTAAAATTCATAACACACTAAAATACAATAACATCCATTGAAATTAAGCAAATAATACTATACGATTTTGAGTATAACTATCA